CACACACACACATATTGTGTATATATATATATATATATATATATAAATAACATTAAAAAAAAATTTCTAAAAAATAAATAAAAATGCTAATTGGGGCCAGCGTTTGTGACTAAGTGGCTACTACAAAAGACTGGAAATACCCCATTTGGAATACCCTGGGTTTTCTACATTTGAAAATGGTATGCCATGATGAGGTTATTTCACATTCCTGGGCTACCATATGATCTTAAAAGGCAACACAGACCCAGCAAACCAATCTGACAAACTGAATTGGGCAAGCCCTATATTGACCCTGTAACTTTCCAAAACACCATAAAACCTGTACATGGAGGATATTGTTATACTTTGGAGACTTCTCTCAACACAAATATGAGTGTTTAAAACAGTAAAACCTATCACGACGATGAAATCACCAGTAAAAGTGCAGGTTTTGTGTAAAAAAATGCAAAAGACAAATATGAGCGCTAACTTTGGCAGGCGTTTGTGGCTAAGTGGTTACTACAAAAGACTGGACATACCCCATTTTAAATACCCTGGGTTGTCTACTTTTTCAAATGCTATGTCACGGTGGGGTTAATTTTAATTTCTGGGCTGCCATACCGTCTCAAAGGCAACATAGCCAATCTGGCAAACAGCAATTTACAAAAACAGAAATTGGCAAATCTTATGTTTGACCCTGTAACTTTCCAAATCACCATAAAACCTGTACATGAGACATTACTCTACACAAATATGAGTGTTTTAGGGCAATCAAATGTATTATACTGATAATATCATCGGTGAAATGTAAATGCTAATTTTTGGCCAGGGTTTGTGACTAAGAGGCTACTAAAAAAGACTGGACATACCCCATTTTGAATAATGTGGGTTGTCTACTTTTACAAATGGCATGCCATGATGGGGTTAATTTTCATTCCTGGGCTGGTATATGGTCTCAAAGGCAACATTGGCCCAGCAAAGCAATCTGGCAAATTTCAATGTGCAAACATGGAAAAGGGGAAAGCCCTACATTTGACCCCTGTAAGTTTGCAAAAACCCATGAAAACCTGTACATTGGGGACACTGTTGTACTCAGGAGATGTTGCTGAACACATATTGGGGTGTTCTTTGTCAGTAACACATAACAGGAACTGAGAATCAATGCCTAAAGTACAATGTGAGAGAAAAATAACACAATAAAATGACAACCCAAAATGACAAAGACTGGTGGTAGAATTAGTGCATGGAAAGTGTTAAAATACCACCATTTGAAATACCCTAGGCTGTCTTCTTTTCAAAAATATATGGTTTGATGGGTTAAATTACACTGGCCGGCTTCACAAATATCCCAAATGGGGCATTGGTGCATGATGACCAGCTGGGAAAATTCCAAGTTGGAAAACTGGAATGCGCACCCTCCAAATAAGGTCTTTTAGCCCCTAGAGAACCCAACACACCTATCCATGGGTGGTATCACTGTACTTGGGAGATGTTGCTGAACACATATTGGGGTGTTCTTTGGCAGTAACCCTTAAAGTTCTCAGTACATGTCTTCTTAAATTGCTATGTTTGTCAAAAAATCACTAATCATTTTTTTTTTTTAAATTTGGCATAGATTGGTGGTAAAATGGTTGCATGAAAAGAGCATGAAAAGAGTCAAATTACCCCATGTTTAATAAAACAGCGAGTAGAGTCAGCGCTAATCAGGAAGGCAGCAGTCCCGGACAAGGACTCCCTCTAATGTCCTTAGAAATCAATAGACAAAAGCAAAAAATGGGGGGATGGGTCTGCGCCAATGTACACAATAAATGATAATATCAAGTCCAATAGGATCTATATTGTTGTCTCCAAGGTTCTACTTGTTGCGATATCCAAAGGATAATCCAAAGTAGTAAAAATAGAAGAGGTCTTACTTACAGTTGACAGAGCTTAATCCAGCTCTGGTGTGAATGGCTTACAGCGGTATTATCCCCTCTTGGAGGATATACGGCAGTGTCCTTTTCTTTGTAGTGGCAAGTGACCAAGTTGGAAATAAAAGTGAAAACAATAATGGTGCAGTATGTTCCACACGTGCAATAAAAGGTATAAAATATAATAGATACACTCAAACTAGAGCTTCGGCTAGCTCTAGTTTGTTAGGCGTGCAGCGGTATAATCCCCGCTTGTAGGATATAGGATGAGTGGTCTTGACGGGAATATCAGGAGCTCGGAGAGAAGATAAAATGTAGTAACTATTTAGCATGGGTGTTTTTTGGCAGTTGTAGATGCGCAACACATTTTGAGGGTCAAAGTTCAAAAACTTGTGTTTTTTAAATTTTTTCATCCTATTTTATAAAAAAAAAAATTATAGTAAAATATATGATATGATGAAAATAATGGTATCTTTAGAAAGACCACTTAATGGCGAGAAAAACGGTATATAATATGCAGGGCCAGATTAAGAGCCCGGTGGGCCTGGTGCTGACAATTATGATGGGGCCTAATTACAGAATTTTATCGACCAAAAACACTAAAACAGTCATACCTCTCAAGCGTCATGTATCTGATGGAGTCGGTGTTGGAGGGAAACTCAAAGGATGCAGCTATAAGAAAACATACTCTATGCTAATCTCTTTATCTAATTTATACTTTCATTATTCAAGTAAATCCATACCCCCTAAAATCAGTGTCCAGTGAAGCAGGAAGTCAATGGGCGGAGTAAAAGAGTGGGCAGGGGAGGGCTAGCAGCCTTAGGCCTGGGGGGCAAAACCAGTCAAGTGGCCCATTGCACCACCAAATCAGTTCACCATCCATGCCCACCTTTTCCTGGTTTTATAACGGATATTGATGTTATGCTAATCAGTAGCTCTTTGCCATACCCGCTCCTTCACGGCTCCAGGCACTGCTTGTTGTGAGTGTGAGCCACTGTAAATTAGGGGCAGAGGGCACTTGCACTGCGGTAAAGACGGGGCTGGGCAGGAGGAGAGTGCAGTGCAATCAGTGCACTCCCCTCCTGTGGGTCACCAGTAGACTGGTGCACCTGCCCAGGATCAGAGCCGGTGCAAGGATTTTTGCCGCCCTAGACAAAATAAAAATTTGCTGCCCCCCCATGTGACATCACAATGCCCCACCCATATGAACTAACGCCAGTGCTGCACACAGTGTGTGTTTACATTAAAAAGCCTGCAGGGACCAGCTATAGACACCAGAACCACTTCATTAAGCTATAGTGTCCCTTTAATGTGAGGTACATTATAGATTAGTGTCACTAATAATATACTAGATTGCCTACTTACAAGCAGATGAGGATGATGGGCTGCAGTTTGGCTCCACTGGTCTGGTGTAGAACAGGATCTCTGGAGGCTGTTTGCAGCTGTGGTCACAAAATTCAATGTTCTGGGAGAATTGGAAGCAGCTCCATTTTTTGGGGCCCCTTACACAGCTCAAGGTCTGGGCCCCAGGGCCTGACTGTGAGTATGCCCATAAGGCCCACTCATAAGTTCCACCCACCCATGAGTTCGCTCACAGGGAGTGGAGTGTGTT